AGACGGTGTGGTTGTCTAAGGCGCCTCTTAGGGTGGCCTTTTTCTTGTGGACTGTAGCTTGGAGCAAGATTTTGACTTTGGATAACTTGAGGAAACGAAGACATATTATTGTTAATCGATGTGGTCTTTGTAAGTTGAATGGGGAGTCAGTGGATCACCTGTTGCTGCATTGTCCTGTGGCTCATGATTGTTGGAGTCTCATTTTTGATTTGTTTGGTATTCATTGGGTTATGCCTCGGACATCTCGGGATTTGCTGGATATTTGGAGGGGCCAATGGGTGGGGGCTCAGGCGAGAGTCTTCTGGAGGGTAACCCCCTTTTGTGTTTGGTGGAGCATTTGGAAAGAGCGGAATAGAAGATCTTTTGATGGGAAGGAGGCCTCCATTGGGGTGTTGAAATTCTCTATTATTTGTACTCTTTTTTGTTGGGGTTGGGGGAGAGATTTTTCCTCCATTGAGGATATTGTGGACTTTGTGGGTTTCTTGAGATCATAGTTTCAGTTTTTTGTATAGCTTGGGACGCGTTTCCCTTTTGAACGCCTTTTATACATTTTACTTATAAAAAAAAAAAACAATAAGACACCTTAATTACTTTGATAAAAAATCTATAATATATGAAAAACAATATACACCAATCTCATTGAAATATAGCATTGATACCCATATGATCCAAAACTCTAGTCAATACAAAGACAACCCCAAAATAGAGTGTAGCCCAAAACTGGTAGCCTAGTCTCCAAAAAACACAACACTTCACGGCCACCTCATTTCTTATCTGTGACCAAGACTAGAACCTAAAAATGTTTGGTAAAGAGTGAGCTCAAAGCGTTCAGTAGGTTCCCAATATTTTTGAGAAAATTCACATAATTTTCTTTCATTCTTTGGTAGGTAGAAAAATGAACTTTAACCAATGCAGAGAAATGTGCACTGACAAATGGAATTAGACAGCAGGATATTATCAAGTAAATAATAGCATTTAAATTATCAAATTATTCAAACTTCCTTTTCCAAATAATTCCCAAAATATTTCATAAAGTCATGTCATAAAGAGAATAATCGAATAATAGCCATTCATGAAATCTTTAAGAAGATGGCCCCATAAAACCGCAATAGTTCATATAATCAATCCATAATTTCCGTCTTTCTTTTTCAGCAAGATGAATGCATTTATCAACCAATGGTGGCGCTCCAAGAGGAATCCACCGGCCAACCTTTGCAACCATCAACTGCATAAGGGAAATGGTAGTCCTCCAAGAGGAATCCAACCTCTTACCGCGTGGTCCCAACCATCAACTACCTAAACAAGGGTCTACCATGTGGGTTTAGGGTTTTTCACGCAAGGGCACCGAGCCCTACTTGCTTCATAAAACCGCAATAGTTCATTAATCAATCCATTATTTCCGTCTTTCATTTTCAGCAAGATGAATGCATTTATCAACCAATGGTGGCGCTCCAAGAGGAATCCACCGGCCAACCTTTGCAACCATCAACTGCACAAGGGAATTGGTAGTCCTCCAAGAGGAATCCAACCTCTCTCACCTGCGTGGCCCCAACCATCAACTACCTAAACGAGGGTCTACCATGTGGGTTTAGGGTCTTTCACGCAAGGGCACCGAGCCTACTTGCTTCTTTAGGGAATTCTGGAATTCTACCCAAGGACCGCAACCCAACTTCATTGAATCAATGCAGTCACCGTTAATATACCCAACAATCATTTTCAAACCATTAAAGCTCGGCTTTCCAAATTCAATTCTCATGTACAAGCTGATTTTTTTTTTTTTTTTTCCTAGTTGGTACTCACACACGTCTCTTCTGAGACTTGAACCCCGGACCTCCCTTTGGGAAGTAAGAGGCTGATACCGCTAGGCCACTGGCTCGTTGGTCATGTAGAAGCTGTTTTCTCCCCAGCAATAACTCGTGTTCGGAAATTTACTAAAAATCAAATACTTCTTATTTAATTATAACATAAAATTCTGGAGAAACTTCAATATGTCAATTTTCATTTCTCAAAATCTCATACTCAAAATCCAACAATTGATATGGAAAAAAATTAACCAAAGTTACTGCTATCTAATATTCATGTAAATTTCCAGCAAAAACTAGTTTCTTTAAAAGTTATCCAAAAATATAATTCGAACTCAATTTAGGTGAAACCAGGACCAAATGAAAGCTAACAAACTATATTTCAATTTCAGTAAATTAATTTAGTCAATACCTTTACCAATCAGGTCTGTTATTGAAGAAAACAATAGAGAAATTTGCACTAAGACAATCAGTTTGAACTGCTAGTTTCCTTCAACTTCAGAAAGTCATAATAATTCCAAAACTCAAACTATTTTGAGTCAAATAGAAACCTATAAACTTCTCAACAAGTTAGCTTTAATATACCAAAATCCCATTTACAAATAGCAAATCAAAAATATAGAAATCTCAATCCTAAAACCAAGCTGTTCAGTTCACTTTTCCCAACACATCATTTCGTTTCAAAATTTAGCAAATCTTTCAACTAATTTCATGATCAACAAAGTAGTTAGACAACATAAATCCACATTTCACATGGCAAGAAACATTTATGTAGATTGATTTCTAATTTTTAGCAAATAAACCAAGAATTTCAACAATTGAGAAGGTTAGGAACCTTCCGCTTTGAAGCTTTTCCAAAATTCCTCCAATTTTTTCCTTCTCTTTTCCTCTTTCAAATCTCTCTCTCTCCCTTTCTTCTTTTTCTTGTTTGTACTACATATATACTAAGGACAACAAAGCTTCTGGGAGAAGCTTTATACAAATGGCATATTTTTGAAGGCCCACTCATGCATTCCAACACATGGCAACATGCGTTACATTTGTCATGTATGTATTTATTTATTTACTTATCAGAAAAAAAAATTATTTATTCACATTTTTTCGTTTTTCATTTTATACCAACTATTCTTCACATTTATATTTACGACCTCCACTAAAATATTTTTCATACTTAATCCAAACACTTTAACTTTTATATTTATACTTTCTTCCCACTCAACATATTTTTCGATTTTATGGAATCCCTTGGTTCTTTGGAAATTCACCCTTCACCGTATTAACTATCTACGAGACTACCAGTTAAATCCCCCATGTGAAGTAATTTATTCAAATAAACTATATAAAGCTCATAAGAATCGATAATGGACTTAATGAAAGTCGGATATTACATTTCTATTCTTAGTTCTCTTTTTTGTTGGGCTTATGGAAGAAATTGTAAATCTAGGGGGGAGATAGTGGATGCTTGGACATATTGAGAGATTAGGCCCTATTTGGTCCTTATGTAGTTTTTGGGAAGCGCTCCCCCCTTGAGCGTGTGATCAAACTTCACTTATGAAAAAAACTAAAGATATAGAATAAGGCATTCCATAATATGTTGTTTGTTGTTGGCATAGTGTTATTGGATACTTCAAAGCAAGTCTTAGGAAAATTAGAGGTATGGAGAGATAATTAGAAGCAAAAGGCTTTAGAAGTAGTAAGACTAAAATTGAATATATGGAATGTGAATGTGAATTTAATAAACTCTAAAAAAATTACCATATCACGAAAACAATTCAAGTCTAAAGGATTATTCAAAATAATTATTTTCAATATTTAGGATTAGTAGTATGAAAGGATGGAGAGATTGATGATGATGTAATTAGTAGGATTGGATTTTGTGGATAGCTTGAAGCTATAGTGTCTTTGTATTCTTTTGAGAGTGCTCCCCTCTTGAGCGCCTTTTTATGAAATCTTACTCATCAAAAAAAAAAAAAAAAAATGTAATTAGTAGGATTGGAGCAGGATGGACAAAATGGAGATAAGCTAGTGATATTTTATGTGATAAAAATACCAAATAACTTAAAAGGAAAATTTTATAGGATGGTTTTTAGGCGAGCAATCTTATATGGAGCAAAGTGGTGGGTTTTAAAAAAGAAATAAGAACAACTTATTCATGTAGTTGAATGAGAATGGTAGAATAGATTATTGGAGTGACTAAAATTAGTGTCAATAATCAATGTGTGAAGGAAAGACTAGGGGTGACCCCGAATAGTGATAAAATAAGAGAAATATGTGGTATGAACACACACAACATAGACTAGTAGATGCATCGGTAATAAATGGAAGATTAGTTTGCATAGAAGACGAGAAAAAGATGTTGTCCTAAAGTAACAGGAATTGAAGTAATTATAATTGAATTCAAAAAATTAACACAAATGCAAAAGAATGGAAAAAGAGAATTCATGTGACTCAGATCATTCATATGGGTAAATGCAAGGATGATAATGATCTACATAAATATATATAAATGCATATCTATTGTTGCGTGCTCGCCATATCCCATCCTACTTTTTAATAATTTGTTGCATTACCTTGTCCATTTTGTGTCATTTCCATATACTTTATGTGAACGTGCTTCATAGATGATTTGTATAGGTATCCACCTTTTTGCACATGACAGATATAAAGAGAGATCACCATGTGCTTTTCATTGAAGCATATGAAAAGTATTCCACTTGGAGAAGCACATTGATTGTTCCAAATGTATTCATGTGTATATAATTCTCATTCGTAAGATACATGTTGTAGGAATCATTTAGAAATTAGAAGCATAAGAAGGAAAAGAATCCATATAGTTGCTCAGTTTTGTTTATGTTTCTTTTTCTATTTTAAGCCATTTAGGAATCCTTTAGATGACTTTTATTGAAACTTAACATACTTTTGTATACCATAAAGTATGGTGAGGATATACAAGCAGTTTGCATAAAATTCAGTATCTTCCCCAGAAAGAGGCAAACATTAAAAATAGCATTCTGAATATTCTTTCTTATTCATTTTCAAACTTCTTAACACATGCAAATACATTCTTATAGGATGTTAGTTCGAAAGTTGTTGGTGCATTTCAATGTAGAATATAGCTATAGATCTAGCTGAGTCCAACCTTTATATTTCTTTCTTATTGCTGGTCATGTTTGTGTTATTAAAGCATAATCTCTTCAGATTTCGACTTCTCATCCAACAATCAGTATATTGCATCATCCTCGATGGATAAAACTGTTAGAGTATGGGAGATATTGAAAGGCACTTGCATTCGAGTGATATATGGAGTGGCTTCACAACTATGTATTCGTTTTCATCCTGTAAGTATACATTAAAAGTTCTAGTCTTCATTTACTCATATTTGCCTACTCATATTTACCAATGTTGTGTTGCAAAGCTAGCCTCTGGTTTTCTATGAATAACACTTGGTGATCGATGTTGTTTGGAATGTATGTGCTCATCTTGAATGCACATCTCAGATTCTCTGATATTCATATTGCTTTCTTTTTATTTTTTTGGCTTCCTAGTTTCTCCTTTATATTTGATTTCCACTTATTAGTTATTTTAAAGAAAGGGTTTCTTCTTCTTTTTTATTTGTTATATATCAATATGATTAAGGTTTGTAGGCTATATGCCATCTTCCTTTTATATGTAACTACACACTATATATAAAGGAATCATTATTGTTTATATATTTTTCATTGATTACATTGGTTTTAAATTTTGTTCTTTTATTTGTCTTCTTTATGCAGGTGAATAACAACTTTCTTTCAGTTGGCAACGCGAACAAAGAAATCACTGTAATTATCTAATGCTGTTTACAATTATTATTATTATTTTTGGTTGGGGGTGGGGGGGAGGGAAAGGGAATTGCATGCCATTTGGCGAGTACTTTGGTTAAAGCTGAAATTATTTTATTATTATATTGATGTTTTAATGTCTATCCTCTTGTCCCTTTTTACCTTTCTTTTTATTTTTGGGAAGAAAGGGAGGGGTAGTGTGCTATAAGTGACTATGAAATTGTGAGAACACAAGATGAGATTTTTTTTAGACATAGCTGAGGAGGGCATACCCTCTTGGGATCCAAGGGATCCAAATCAGTAGCCTGAAATGGGTATAGCCACCAGGAAGAAATGGCGACTGTGAAGAAATGGACCAGAAATACAAACAGAAGTGGGTCGCCCGTAAGGATCCCCATTCGTGTCCAGGTAAGTCTCTTTCATCTCATGTTCGGAACTCTCCGTCAGTCTCTACTTCTACTCCTTGTGAGTTGTTGAGAAGTAGGGGGGGGGGGGGGGGTGGAGTTCTTTGATGGGAGGCAGTAGATGTTGTCACTTGTTCTTGAGGTTGACTCGATGGATGTGATGAGCTCTACGGTTGGCTCTGATTTTGGGGATGTTGGGCTGTCAGAAAGGGATGGGACGATTTGCTTGTCTGGTGACAGGGATTACAACTGATTATGCGCCGGGATTGCTGAGACATGCTCGGAGTTTTCTTCCGCTTCTCGGTTCAATGATTCCTCAGGGGAGGAGATGGGTAGGCCGGCCAAGCCTCTTTTGAGTGGAATGACAGGGTTTTATTCTTCTTTAAAAGATGGCTCAGTGACTTGTTTGAAGGGTTCTGTGCCTGATTTGGTGATTGTTTGTGTGGGCAAAGATATCCGTATTTCCCTCAGTGATGAATCAGCCTCTCTTTTGGTAAAGGAGTTTCAGAAGCACAGATTTTCGCCTAATGATCAAACTGTTGACTGCAATCCGGACCTTTTCATCTGGGATGGTGTGTTGGATTATGGTGAGGACTGGTCTTCTCATGTCGAGGAGGCAGTGGAGACCAAGGGAGGTGAGGGAGATGGGAGCAGGTCTCTTGATCTGATTTTGTGGGAGGAGGGTCATGCTAACTTGGGGGTGGTTGACCCTTTGGCTATTGTTCTTCCAGAAGATTTGGGCAACAAGGTGTGTAGACAGGAAGCTGAGGATATTGGAAAGGAATGGGTCAAGGCTAATATTGGGGTCACTAGTGATCTGTTGGGTGTCTCTTGCAAGGGCAATCGTGATCAGGCCTTAGCAATTCTTCAGGCCACGGCAGAGGGGAGAGAGGGGGAGATGATTCAATTTTCCAGAAGGAGGAGCCGGAAGAAGAAGAACCTTACTTCGTGGAAAGGGGAAAGGGAGCTAAGGAACCTATGTTCTGATGTGAATTATGATAGGTTGATTGAGGGGGAGAAGGAGAGGGGGAGTGTTAAGGGAGGAGGGAGGGGTAAGGGGGTGATGGGGGTGAGTGTTTCCTCATGAAGCTACGACTTTTATCTTGGAATGTCTGTGGTCTCAATGGTCCGGGCAAGCGTAAGGTGGTGAAGATGGCGGTGAGGAAATGGGGGTGCATTTGGTGTGTCTTCAAGAAACAAAAGATTGATTCTATAACTGATCGTGTGGTGAAGAGTTTGTGGGGTAACCAGTTTGTTGAGTGGGAGGCGCTAGATTCTGTTGGGACTTCAAGCGGTGTTCTCATTATGTGGGATAGGAGATGGATGGCTACGGTGGATGTTTATAGGGGGATTTTTTCTCTGTCTTGTGCTTTTGTGATGGAGGTGGATGGTTTCACTTGGGGCTTTTTTGGGGTGTATGGGCCGGTTGATGATGATGTGAGGGATGGGTTGTGGGAGGAGTTGAGTGGGGTGAAAGGGAGGTGGTCTCTTCCTTGGTGTGTGGCAGGAGATTTTAATATGGTTAGGTCCCCGGCGGAGAGATCTACAAGAGGTCTGTGGACTCAGGCTATGATGCACTTTTCTTACTTTATTGATGGTCACTAGCTTATTGATCTTCCTTTTGAGGGAGCTTCTTTCACTTGGTCCAGTGGAAGGGAAGCTCTAACTTTTTCTCGCCTTGATAGATTTTTGATTTCTGGTGACTGGGAAGAAAAGTTCCCGGATGTTGTTCAGGCTGTGTTGGCTAGGGTGATGTCGGACCACATTCCCTTGGTTTTAGATTGTTGAGGGTTGAGATCTTGTAGCACTCCTTTCAGATTTGAGAACATGTGGCTTCGTGCGGATAATTTCCAGGGATTTGTGCATTCTTGGTGGGAGGAGAACCTGGTGGTGGGTACGTCGAGCTTTATTCTTGCAGGAAAGCTTCGACTTCTGAAAAATAATCTCAAAAGGTGGAATAAGGAGGTGTTTGGGAGCTTGGAATGGAGGAAGAATAGTGCATTGGTTGATATTGCCGAGATTGATAGATTAGAAGGGGAGGGTGTTCTTTCTGAATCTCAACGCAGTAGGAGAGCAGCTTGTCAGGCAGAATGTGTCGAGATTGCAGTTTTGGAGGAATTTCGTGGCGCCAGAAATCTCGGGCCTTGTGGCTCAAAGAGGGAGACCAGAATACCAAGTTTTTCCATAGAACTGCTAATGCTCATAGGAGGAATAATCACATTGGGCGGATGTGTGTGGATGGTGCGGTCTTGACTACGGAGGAGGAGGTGCGTAGCGGTATTGTCTCTTTCTACCAAAGGCTTTATTCTGAGCCTCTTCGATGGAGGCCACCTCTTGATGGTCTTCACTTTGATTCTATTTCTGACTTGGAAAGAGATGGGTTGGAGAGTCCTTTTTCGGAGGAGGAGGTGTTGAAGGCTCTAAAGAGTTGTAATGGTGATAAGGCTCCCTGATGGCTTTACTATTAGATTTTTGTTGGAGAGTTGGGAGGTGGCCCGATACGAGGTTATGGGCACTTTCCATGAGTTTCATTCCACGGGGCGGTTTGAGAAATCACTGAACGCATCTTTTATTGCCCTTATTCCTAAGAAGGGTGGTGCTTCTAACATTAAGGATTTTAGACCATTCAGTCTGATTGGGTGCATTTACAAGCTCATCGCAAAAGTCCTTGCGTTTAGATTAAGGAAGGTTCTGGATGGAGTTATCTCTGAGTCTCAGAATGCTTTCATTGGGGGCAGACAGATCCTGGATTTTGCCCTTATTGCCAGTGAATGTGTGGATTCTAGACTTTGTAGTGGGGCTCCTGGTGTTCTTTGCAAGCTGGATATCGAGAAAGCCTATGATCATGTCTGCTGGAATTTCCTGTTCTACCTGTTGGAGAGGATGGGCTTTGGTGAGAGATGGAGGAAATGGATTGCTTCATGTGTTTCCACTGTCAGATTTTCGGTGTTGGTAAATGGATCTCCTACGGGGTTTTTCGACAGTTCTCGCGGTCTGAGGTAGGGGGACCCTCTCTCCCCGTTCCTTTTTATTATTGTTATGGAGGCTCTTAGTAGATTGATGAGAAGGGCGGTGGACTTGGGTTTTATCAGGTGTTTCAAGATCGGCCCCGACTCAGTTCAGCAGATAGAGATTTCTCACTTGCTCTTTGCGGATGACACTATTGTTTTTTGTGAGGCAGAGGTGTCCCAGTTGAGGTATCTGAGATGTGTTTTGGTTTGCTTTCAGGCTGTCTCTGGTTTGAAAGTCAACGTGGCTAAGAGTGTGCTTGTCCCTGTGGGGGAGGTTCAGGAGGTGGACACTCTGGTTGCTGTTTTAGGGTGTGGGACGCAACGCTTCCCTATCTCGTATTTGGGTTTGCCGCTGGGGGACTCGGCCAAGAAGGTGGGAAGTTGGGACCCGATGATTGAGCGGGTCGAGAGAAGATTAGCTGGATGGATAAAGCAATATCTTTCCAAGGGTGGTAAAGTTACATGAGTGAAAAGTATCTTGTCAAGCCTCCCAACGTATTTTCTTTCGCTTTTTCGAATTCCAGCCTTTGTTGTTGGACGTCTTGAGATGCTTTAACGAAACTTCCTTTGGGGGGGTCATGGAGAGGAGTTTAAGTATCATTTTGTCAGATGGGAGCAGGTTTGCAGGCCTTTTTAGTTGGGAGGGCTTGGGATTAGGAGATTGGCCCCTTTCAACAGTGCTCTCCTTAGCAAGTGGCTTTGGAGATTCGGCAGTGAAAGACATAGATTATGGAGAAGGGTTATTTTATGTCACTTTGGGGAGGAGAGAGGGGGGTGGTCAGCTAGGCTAGCCAGGTCTGCTAGTGGAGTGGGGGTGTGGAGGGCCATTGGAAAGGGATGGGATGAATTTTCCAAACATGTTAGATTCAGAGTTCGGGATGGAAGGTATGTCCGGTTTTGGGAGGGCTCCTGGTGCGAGGATAGGCCTTCGGCTCTTTTGTTCCCAAGGCTGTTTAGGATTGCTGTTGACAAACATGCTATGGTTGCTAACTGCTATCGCCTTGATAGCTGGAGGTTGTCTTGGGATGTGCGATTCCGGCGATATTTTCAGGATTGAGAGTTGGATGATGTCATTGGCTTGTTGGCTCTCCTGTACAGACAAGAGGATGGTGCAGATTCCCTGATTTGGGTGCTTTCTACTTCGGGGATGTTCTAGGTCCAGTCTTTTTTTGTGTGCCTCTCTGGTTTTCATAGCTCTACCTTCCCGTGGAAGACGGTGTGGTTGTCTAAGGCGCCTCTTAGGGTGGCCTTTTTTGTGTGGACTGCAGCTTGGAGTAAGATTTTGACTTTGGACAACTTGAGGAAGCGAAGACATATTTTTGTTAATCGGTGGCGTCTTTGTAAGTTGAATGGGGAGTCAGTGGATCACTTGCTGCTGCATTGTCCTGTGGCTCATGACAGTTGGAGTCTCATTTTTTGTCTGTTTGGTATTCATTGGGTCATGCCTTGGACGGGAATTGCTGGATATTTGGAGGAGCCAATGGGTGGGGGCTTAGAGTCTTCTGGAAGGTGACCCCCTTTTGCGTTTGATAGAGCCTTTGGAAGGAGCGAAATAGAAGATCTTTTGATGGGAAGGAGTCCTCCATTGGGGTGTTGAAATTTTCTATTATTTGTACTCTTTTTTGTTGGGGTTGGGGGAGAGATTAGTCTTCTCTTGAGGATACTATGGACCTTTTGGGCTCTTTGAGATCATAGGTTCCGTTTTGTTTTTATAGCTTGGGACGCGTTCTCCTTTTGAACGCCTTTTAATACATTTTACTTATCAAAAAAAAAAGAAAAGAAAAGAAATGGGTATAGCCACCAGATAACATTGGAAGAACAAACATCCATATAAGTGAGTCCCAATCTATTTCCTATTGGGTTATTTTATTTCTGTATTTTCTTCCGAATTTCACTTCCTAAGACCCGGATTTTCACCTAAGTACTGTCAGGGTCAGCAAAACAGTATTTAATTTTATTACACAATACAATAAGCAGTTTATCTTGAGTCAAGGTATTTGCATTGATTGGTGTTTTACATAAACTCTTCTATTCCCCCCTGCTTGGATAGGACATGATGTGGTATGGGGCTGAGATATGTTCGACACATGAACCCTAATTCTGAGTCTCTACTTACGATGATTGGAGAAGAGAAACCCCATTTTCACTATATTGCACTTAAATTGAAATCTAATGCAGTATATCCTTTAAGAACAAATGTATCATACATTATTCTACTATATAATATATAAAATGTTTCCAAATCCGTAGGACAGAGGTCACTCGTCTAGACACACACCTGCAAGTTCTGCAACCAATAAATGTACCCGAGTCCATGTAGAATAGATTAGGTAGTAAGATTTATTCCATCTCCTATAACTATTTGAACGCACATAAATCAAATGGATGCGATGAGAATAAGTTGAAGCTCCTTTTTCTGTATTAATGCATTTTGAATGTGGTACTTTAAATCTTTTAGGTCATTCCAACTTAAAGTGAATGAGCTGGACTTCGTACTGTAATTTTGCTAAATCTTATTAACATTTAGGTTGTGTTTCTATTGTAACTGTGCTGAGGCTTTGAGCACATGAATTTTATTTGTTTATTTGCTACAAAACAAGGGGACATTCAAGCCACTGCTATTTAGGTTCAGAATCCAACTGGATCCCACCTGGCCTAAAAGGCCGGTTGGTGGTGGTGGAGAACAAGACAATGGCATGTTGAAAACAAATTGTGGCTTCCAAAATTAAATCGTTTTCCTTTATCTCTTCCTAATTTTTTTTAAAATTGAAATGTATCCTGACTATACAGTTTTTGCTGTTCTCATAATATTTTATTTCTATGGTAATTGAACACTGTTGGAACGCATGCCCTATCCAACATCCATTCTTTATTTTTTCCTGATTTTGTATCAAATTTGTAGGGATGTTAATACCATCAGATTCTAATGATCTCATCCTTGCCATATTCGTTCAATAACCTTTCTCATAGGAGTTGTATTTATAATCGACATTCTAGGTATTCAATTTCAGCACAGGGAGAATAATCAACAAAACAGCTTTTGACAGTGAGATTACTGCCATGGATCATGATCACACCGGTCAGCTTATCTTTTGTGGAGATGCTAAGGTTTGCATGCTTGACATCCATTGTTACATCTTATATACTGATTACCTCTAACATTTCCAAGGAAATGTCCAAACGGTTGAATTTTGCAGGGATATGTTTACACAGTCTCTATGAACTCTCACACAGGTGCATTGTCTCGGTCACGTCACAGTCGAAGCAGTAGCAAAGGCAAATCTCCGGTCACAACTCTGCAATACAGAACATTTTCTCTGCTGGCACGAGGTCCTGTGTTGCTGACATTTACTCGAGATGGAAGTCTATCATTTTTCAGGTCTGGCAGGGATGTTTTGTTTTTTACTTTCAGGTTTATCTTTGAAATATTGATAAGAAATTTAGTGTTGGATCTTGCAGTGTTTCTTTGGAGATACAAGGTTATATGACTCTTCAATGCTCTCTCCAATTGGCTCCACGACTACACAGCATCCGTGCTTCCTTTTGCCCTCTGCTTTCCCTAGAAAAAGGAGAATACATAGGTTTGTATGCCAATCTAAAAGTTGATAGTTGGATGTATTTACTGCATTGTATTACATTTGAAGCGCCTTGTTCCATTGCAGAGCTTTCTATATATGTCGGAAGGCTCTTCTTATCTGCACAGGGACCTCCTGTTGCTGCCTAGTGTTTCAAAAATATTTCTGAGTCGTTTATTTATCATCCTAGTCTTCTGGGAGAAAGAGTTGGTTGATGTTTTCATTTGATTAAATAACTGAATGACTTTGCAAAGATCTTTTAATCATGGTTCTAAATGTATGCTTGCAGATTGAAAGCTGCCTAATAGAAATATAAATTAAAGTACAAGCTCTAATTTAGGTACGTCGTTGCTATAACAAAATCCCATAAAAAAAGCCCTTTGGATGCCAATATGGCCATTAGAGAATCTCATTGCAATTTTAGGAAAGCCATTTCTTAAGGATTCCCAACCCGCTCCTATTTTATTAGATTTATTGATGGGGTCCATCTATTATTTTATTTCTTTTATTTTTATTTTTTAGGGAAGAGCTGCAATAATTCCTTCTGTGTTCCTTTTCCTTGTTTTTTAGGCTCAAAAGATCAAGTGGTTCACGCTTGTTATCTTACTGTTCAATATGATGGATCCATCTTTGGGAACTTTTATTTTATTTTTAAATATTAATAATCCTGAATCTCTGATATTGCTTCTATCTCAATTTCCTGTATGATGCTTATATGTATTTTTACCTCATATAGAGGGATTGCGGCATCTTGATTGTAATGGTGCATTTAGCTCATAATGGTTCTCTTTTCCTCCTAAAGAGCAATGGTCCTTTGTTCTTCTGGCCAGCAGAGCTGATTTGGAGGGCTAAGGTTCACCAAAAAATTGGCTTGGTTTTTGGAATTTCTCTGTCCCAATTTAATAGTCCCTTTTCGGTATTACGACTTTTCAAGGGACATTCTTTTCATGCATTATCTCCATTTGAAATTCCAAGTTACCCTTTGAAGTATTTGTGTGTGTATATGTATTATCAAGTTGGGAAAATATCAAAACATAAAGGGTATTTATTGAAAGATGCATTTATCTCACTTTGACTTTTCCAAATGGACAAGTATTTTGGGATATTCAAAAATGGAAAAATGGACTATTAAATTGGGATAGAGGGAGTAGTTATATGCAGATTATGTATTTAGTTCATTGTCCTGTCTTTTGTTCTCAATGGGAGCTGTCCTTTTCTTTAGTTGGTTTTAGTTTGCTGGTTACTTTGAAAATCTTCACTTTGATGAAGATTGTGTTTGGAGATTCTGGTAGAGGGATCAGAGGAAGAATGTTGTGGTCTTGTGTTTATTTGGTTACTATTTGTGTGATTTGGCTTGAAAGGAATGTGTTAGCACATATGATAGCCTCGATTTATGGAATGACTTACCATATTAGCAGAGATTTGATTATGCTATAGAATGTGTCATAGAATATGCTTTGGAATATGTTATGATTTGATTTAATTTCCTTTCTTGTAATATAAGCATGTGCTCTTTTTATCTATAAATACTAAAGCTGTGAACGAGTGATTTATCTCATTCAAGTCTTTACACCATTCTCTCCTTTTTCTTCTATGTTGTATTTCTACTTGGTATCAGAGCCAAGGTGGTCCTACTGCAATGAGGGCATTGCGAGTTCGGCACCACCCATTCGGGAATGGTCTAAGGTGACATCGCCCATCCGGGAGGTGTCGGGTACGCAGGGTGGTCTAACCTCAATGAGGGCGTTGCGAGTTTGACACCACCTATTCAAAAATGGTTTGAGGAGACATAGTTGTTTCTTTTTATGGTCTTAGGAGACATTGTTAATTTTTTCATTTACATTGTTTAAACATATGTATGAAGGGGAATGGTTTAGGAGACATTGTTGATTCTTCTATCTACATGTTTTAAACATATATATAAAGGAAAATGGTCTGAGGAGACATTGTTGGTTGTTTATGGTCTGAGGAGACATTGTTAATTGTTTATGGTCTGAGGAGACATTTTTTATTTTTTGATCGGCACTTCATCTGAGAGAAAAACATCGCTAGTCAGATTTGCACTTCATTTGTCACAAGCTCTCAACAGCTTGCAGACATTCTTATAGAGGTTGTCAGTAAGATTGTGTTTGAGAATGCATTGTCCAAGTTGAGCGTTTCAGATATCCACGCACCAACTTGAGGGGGAGTGTTAGTAGATATGATAGCCACGATTTATGGAATGACTTACCACATTAGTAGAGATTTGATTATGCTATAGAATATGTCATAGAATATGCTTTAGAATATGTTGTGATTTGATTTAGATTTGATTTAATTTCCTTTCTTTTAATATGAACATGTGCTCTTTTTATCTATAAATACTAGAGCTGTGAATGAGTGATTTATCTCATTCAAGTCTTTTCACAATTCTCTTCTCTTTTTTCTATATTATATTTCTACTGAATGCAAGGGCCTTAAACAGGCCATTTTATTTTGATGCATTGGAGGATATGGCTTTATTCTTAATCTCATTTAAAGTCTTAGTCATTGAAGGGTTGGAAGTAGTTGATGTAGTACCGATTTTGAGTGTTCTGCTAGAAGGTTCACTTGATCGACCTATTGCTCGAAGCTTGCTGAATCGAAGCATTCTGTTTTCCGACTTATTTTCCTGTTCAAATTTTCATTCAAAACAATTTTATGCATTCAAAACATCTTTTTAATGAATCAAAACATGTATGTGTTGTGTGTTCATGGCGAGTTAGTAATTCAAGAGGTGAATGGACCTTTTAACCTCTTTTATCTTCAAATTCTTTGCATTCTGTGTTGATGGATTCAAGGTAATTGGTGAGTTACAGAATACAATCAATTATTTTCATTATTATCATTTTTTCTTTTCAAAATATGATTTTTCATATTTTATAAATTAATCATGTCATTTTTTCAAATTTTACTAAATTATCACATCACAAAACATTCTAAGACCATCACAGTAGACTCAACAAATCTTCTCATAAATGCACCAAATAATATTGCCAAGTTAAAGATCCCGCTATAGTTTTATCATTGTTAAACTTTTAGTAAATCCTTCAAAAGTCCAAGTTCGTTGTGAGCTTGAACTTCTAACAGATATAAACACACTCCAATTTGTGTCAGATAATTTTTTAAATCTCTTAGCGGAGATATGATTGCCTAGAATCATGGGATGTGACTTACCATATTAGTCGAGACATGATAGTCTAGAATTTTAGGATTTGATTTTATTTATGCATTTGTGTAGGCATGGAATCTGTAGTGATTTTATTTAGTTTCCTTTCTTGTAATATTAACGTGTGCTCTTTTAGTATATAAATATATTGAGTGATTAATTCTCCTTAAAGCCTTTAGATATATTTTTTTTTTCCTAAATGAAGGATTTTATAAAAAATTAACAATATAGTACATGTAGAATTAGTAAGGGCATACCCTTACTTTACAAACACAACCTGTCCAAATCACAGGCCAATGAGACCACAAAGCTAACAGATAAGGTTACAAAACATCCTGGAGGCTAACCCCTATTACATCAAGAACCTCCCAAAGAATACACTTAGCTAATTCCAATGCATCGCTGCATAGATCATTATGCATCCTCTCATTCTTTTCTTTCCAAATAAAATATAGCATAGCTGTAAAGACAATACGACTCATTTTATTCTTCTTTCCATTAAAGCTTTGAGTAAACACATCAACCACCTCCTGCACTTCATACATCTTCTGTAAATCCCAACCAAGAATTCCAGAAATAATGGACCACACCTCCCAAGAATAACTGCAACTACAAAACAAATGATCCAAGGTTTCGACATTTTGGAAACACATATAGCATCTAGAAGCAAGAGAAAAATTCAAATAGCAATGTGTGAGTATAGCTTTCTGTAGAACAAGCACCGAGTGTGTAGACCATCTCGGCCTCCCTCCACTCCAACACAATCCTGCCCAACCAACAACTTGTCCTGGAGTTCTACAAGCCTCCCAAGCTGCTTTGAAACTGAATGGAATCTTCCATCCAAGCTGATCTTCTCCACCAACAATTCTGTGGTTATAAAAAACCTGTCTCAGCTCTTGATTTGTGTTTAACAGCTGCTCGTCATCCCAATGACCATCAGTAATGAACTCCTGCAACAGACATTGTTTGTTTCTGCTAAGATACCCCAATAATCTGTGGCTAAATAGATCACCTAAGCATTTACCATCACACCATGGATCCAAAAAAGCTTAAATATTCTGACCATTCCCTATACTGTATCTGCAATTCTCTTTAATCAGATCTCGGACTGCTAAAATGCTCTTCCATATAGAAGAATCAAAAAGATGAATTTTTCAAATATTTTTTTTGGAACCAAGCCACCCAAATTCTGTCTTTAGATAACAGGAAATCCCATGTAATGCTGCACTTTGAAGCTTTATCAATATCAACCAGCCGTCTCAGCCCCAAAACTCCTTCCTCCTTAGGAGTAGCCAATTTATTCCATCTTAAACCATGCATCTTCTTCTTATCTTCCACATGGCCCCATATATAATTCCTCATTCTCCTCTCTATCAGGTTAATAACTACAGAAGGAAGAGTGTACACAGAAGTCCAATATTGAACTAAAGGAAGGATACAAGCTCTAGACAATTCCACTCTGCCAGCCATAGAAAGGTGAAGATCATTCCACCTAGTTGTAAGAGAAATCACTTTATCAATCAAGGCATTGCAGTCCCTGGTACGCAGCATTTTGTCTGAAATAGGCACCCCAAGGTATGTAAAAGGAAATTTTCCAACTTTACAACCAAGACTTTAACAATCCCATCCCTTCTTCGAACAGATTAAGCCTTTAGATATTTTTATTTTTATTGATTTGGTGAAAGCTTATGAGAGGGTACCTAAAGATCTAATTTGGAGGGAAATGAAATGAGTTACAACAGGATACATTGATACAATAAAGGATATGTATGACGGTTGTGCGACTATAGTTGAACTCCTGTAGGGAAAACAAGTGAATTTCCAATTACTGTAGGCGTCCACCAAGGGTCAGCATTAAGCTCATACCTTTTTACCTTGGTTATGGATGAGTTAACAACTTAACATGACAAATCTAAGATGAGATTGCATGGTGTATGTAGTTTGCCAATGATTTTGTTTTGGCCGAGGAGACTATAGGAGTTAATGCCAATTAAATTCGAGGTTTGGAGAGAAGCTGTAGAATAAAAAGGTTTAAGATAAGTAGAATACATGGAGTGTAACTTTAGTAAATCTAGAAATACAAATGAGGATAAAGTGAGGAGTTTGTTGAAAATCAAACGGTACAAAAAATGAACATTTTCGTTATTAAGTCTTTATTATTCATAATGAAGGAGAAATTGGAGATGATTTTAATCAATAGAATCAAAGTAAGGATGGGTTAAATGGAGGAGTGCATCTAGTATATTGTGTGATAGGCGTCTTCCCTTATAACTGAAAGGGAACTTCTATTGAATAGCTATTAGATAGGAAACAACATATCCATAAAGTGAGTGGCAGAAATGCGAATGTTGAGATGGATGTGCAGTAAAACTAAAAGGCATAGAATTAGAAATGATCACATTCGGGAGATGGTTGGAGTAGCACAAATTGGTGATAAAATGAGAGAATCAGTTAACATGGTTTGGTTATGTGCAAAGAAGACCTTTAAGTGTGCTAGTTAGGAAGAGTGACATAGTTCACATCTAGGATAATATTTGGAGAAGAGGATGGCCAAAGTTAACTTGGGTAGAGTAAGGATATGATAGCATGCTGTTTTCGAGAAGATGGCCTCAAATAGGGCAGAATGGAAATGTAAAATTCTTCCAACCGACCCAAAGTAGTTGGAAAAAGGCTTGTTGTTGATCAGTTTTTGATTAGTTTTGCCACGAAATTGCCAAAGGGGGAGATTTTTAGGTCAATAGGACTCAGGTTGGCATATTTATTGGATCAAAACTAGAGAACTAGAGTCTCTCTCTCTATATGTATATATTTGGCTAGTTTAAGTAGATTTTTTGAAGTTAGTGTCAAGGTAACCCTCATGGTTATGTTCAAATTTCCTGGATCAAATCTAGAGAGCTAGAGTCTATATATATATATATATATATATATGTATGGCTAGCTTAATTGGATTTTTTAAAGATAGTGTCAAGGTAGTTATCCCTTGCTTTCATATATTAGTGTTCATGATTACATGATTTGATTTTGGAAAATCCTAATTGAATTGCATATAAGTGTTTTTAGGAACTTGCTAAATTTGAAACTTTTCTGAGCAGGGCACTTCAATCGATCGACTGATCAATCGAAGGCAACTGGTCACGTGTCAATGGATCAGTGTTAATTCTGATCAATTTGTCTGGAACAACAGTTACCTTTTGGGATTGAAACACTAAAATCCTATTATCTCTACAACTTTATTTTGTCTATAGATACTTTGTTATCACAGGAAACCTAGAGACACTAAGAGATACATAAGCTAGAGAGATTTTCAGCATTAGAGTGCATTCATGGTTATATTTACGCATTCATCAATCATCTGCATTAGATTGGTGAATGTTCTTATGTGAGTGTTGATATTATATTCCTACAAAGCTGGATTGGGGATCGACACCAAGAAATAACTAATCAATCGAGATTGGTTGGATGACTAGTCTATTGATCAAATTGTTATTGAAGAAACATATTGCATGTGGAGCGCAATCTGTTGACGGCTGGTGACTTAGGGATTGTTTTGTATGCTTTTTTTTTTTGGTGTTTTGTTTTAGGCCGGGTACTGTAGCAGTTTTTTTGGAAAAAATGTGTTTGGTAAAAAATAATTTATTTTGTACAGTGCCGAAACGTTTCGTAAATAGTGGCTAAAAGTCGAAACACCAATTTGGTGTTCTGAAAAACCCTTAAACGACCTTTTAAAACTAACCATTATATTTTTCAAACTTGCAACACTTTTTTACCAAACATGTTTTCATGTTTTTGCTTCCAAAAATCTTGCAACAAATGGACGTTACCAAACATGCTTTCGATTACTATTCAAAGCACTCTACAACAAAACACTTGTTTTGTTTCGGGTTAAAGCAAAAAGGGAAAAACAAAATGCTTACCAAACAGGGCCATAAAGTTTGAGTTTGGTACTAGGGGTTCTGGGGTTATTGAAGTGTTAACCTAGTGTAATATCTCTTTTGTATTGTGGATTTTGATATGACTAGATTAGGTCCTTTTGTTTTTCCTAGCGGAGTTTTTCATGAAAAAATATTGGTGTTCATTGTGTTTGCTTTATTTTGGACTGCTTATGGTTGAATGTTACGAGGGTGATAATTGATTGCTTATTGATATTTCACAATTGTTTTTCTGTTATTTTGTAATTTAGTTTAAAATTTAAAAAGTAGTTATAATTAGTTAAGACAGCTAACGAGACCTATTCATCCCCTCCAAGCCTAGATCCTTGTGCATACTCTCTATCAGAGCCAAGGGTTCGGTTCTTACTTCATCAAGTTCTTAGGGTGTTCACTTCTTTTTTCATAGTTTGGATGTTCAATTTCATAGTTGCGGATTGAGCCTCATAAATCATGGCTGGTAATGATGGATTCAATGCAATGGTGAATGAACAGTACTAAGTATGGATAAAAATGCTGAAACATGGCCTAAATTGGATTAAGTAAATTATATTATAAATTACCACAGTGCATTCAAGAAGCAAGAATGCAAATAAAGCAACAAATAATAGGGTCAATGGTGCGTTAGGGTTGTACGGAACTTTTTGCTTATTTCTAGACTTACTGAATTAGATAAAAGTGCTGATAGCAATTTTCAAGGAAGAGCATGCACCTTCACTGAAGGGCAATATAGCTGTTAAGAGTGAAGAATGCTCTCAAAGGGAGTATGCATACCTTTATCCGAGCTGAGTATTCTTTGCTAAGGGGAAATGATGGAGGTCATGAGAAAAGTTTAGGAGAGTAATTATGGTTTAATATTATTTCGAAATTTTAGGTTCCCTTAACTTTAGGGTTTTTTTTTTTTTTTTTTTTTTTTGTAGAATTTAATTAAGGTTTATTTTGGTTTTCTATATATATGAGTTGAAACGTTTGCATCATTACTGAATTACACTATTGATATGGAATTACAGGTTTGCTCCTCCCTAATTTCTTCTTCTTCCCTAAATCTTTTCCTTTTCTCTCGTTCCACATCATCGAGCAGATTCAATTTCTGGTTATATGTTCATTTAGTTTTTGTTAGATTCTAACTCCTTGTCGTAAAGGTAATATGGATTTCTAGGTAAAGAGAGTGAAAAAGCTTACTTCATTGCTAAATGCTAAGTGAGAAACTATTCAGCCTTTCTCGGACCATTTTAATCCTCAATGAACAATCTTGTGGTGTTTTATTATTCTACTTTTTGTTTATTCCTCTCCTCTCTCTCTCATCCTCTTTTTTTTTTTTCTCTTCTTTTTTTAATTTCTAAATATTTTTTTCCATTTTGGGGAGAGGAGGGGGAATGGGGGATGGATGATGAATTGCAATGTTTTCACATTTTAATTTCTGGATTCTGTACTTCAGCATAGTTAATTGAAAAAAAAGGCGGTTGAAATGATGAATTTGTTTTGCTTTCTCTATAACAATTAATGCTTACAACTTCCTAGAAAATCATTTCTCTCCCTAGTTCTAAGAATATTTGTAATTGTTTGTCTTGGTGACATTGTTTTTTGTATTCATGAAGTTGCCGGAAGTGAGGATGCGAATGTCTATTTCTATGACTTGACGCGGCCAAAACATCCATGTGTAAACAAGCTACAGGTCAATCTCACTTACTACCGTGTTTTAATGGTCGATTACATTCGCCAATTTCTTCTCTGAGTGTTCATGACATTAATTACTGCAGGGTCATAGTTACCCGGTTATAGGTATTGCTTGGAACCACGGAGAGAACTTGTTGGCTTCTTCTGATTTTGGCGGCACCATTATTGTATGGAAGAGAGCAAAGACAAGTTAAAGCAAAAAATATTACGAGGTAAAATTTTTTAAATTGCATACAATAGAGGACGGACACGGAAGGACCTTCGGTTTTTTTTCAGCATTATAGTGTCATTCTTTTGTAGAACCGGTAAAAAATACGAGTGAATCACATAACAAGTATTTTACTATTAAATGTAATAGGCAGATTAGGGAACTGAGTGTTCAAGGCTTAGAATTTATTCTTTGTATTCCATTTATACTTTCTTCACACTACTTGATGAGACGAAACTACGAAGATCTGAAGAAAAATGATAATTTCCTCTGAAAGCTATATTGACTGAGAAAGTAATTTCTGTATGATGAGTTTTAATTGAAAGAATATTCACTGCGTTTTTTGTTCATTCACGTGGACTATTTGATTTGTATGGAGTTTATAGTTTTTTGATCACCTAGTCAAAATATTTTGCTTTATCTGAAGATGAAAAGGCATGGAAATTGCAATGAATACGGTTCACTTGTGCTCTTTTTTCTATAGCAATGATACATCCTCCGAATCAATCCGGAGGATGCCGAATGAGGTGGGGGCTCGCACCTCCATTCACACAACACGCATTCGGTATTTCACACACCACCTATTCGGCATATCTGAATTCGGAAAATCCTCAGAATTCGAAAGATATTTCCTTTTTCTTTTAGTTTGTAGTATTGTTGTCAATTTCAATGCTACTCTCTAACAAAGTTTCATTTGATTTCATAAATTGAGATCCTTTTGATCGATGGGTTTCAATTTTAACTATTTTAATTACTGAAATTTAAGTGTATAAACCTTGATGTGACCACTAGGTGTACCTACTAAACATTTTTAAAATTTTATTTATTTTTGAATATCTAGAATTCTTTTATTATATAATGATCATCATTTTCTTTTTAACTATTCCCGGAAAATAATTAACGCTTTTGGATTAACCATTTAATTTTGACATGATATAGGCAGGGTATTGTTTTATTTGCTGTGGATGTTTTAAGTGATAATTACTTTATTATGTTTTGAAAACTAAACTTACTTTGATTTTTTTGATCGAAACAAATTTACTGTGATTTTTTTGTGATTACTGTGAATTTTTTTTGTTTGTTTGTAAGGCAAGAATGTTAAGGGTTAATGGTTAGTGGTTAGAGTTTAGAGGCTAGAGGCAAGGATGAAACCAGGTAATTGTGTTATGGGAGAATATTAAAATTTCATAGGCATATAATACAAAAAGGAAAATCACTACCCTCACTAACCTTAGAGTAGGTTCAGACATGGTTGGAGGAGTTAGAGTAGGTTCGGACATGGTTGGAGGAGAGAAGGGGAAGGGGAGGGTGTAAGGCTCTAACACAGGCTCCTAAGCACAAAGAGCAACCCAACCACTAACACGGCACTTTAATGGAGGTTATGTTGTAGAGAACAATTTATGTAGTAGGATAATGTACAGAAGGTGGATGTTTTTAGACAAACTAAGAAGTACAAAAGTAAGGCTTTTATTATATAGCATGCAGAGCAGTGAGACCGGCAGTGGTTTAAAAGAATTGTGTGATTTAAATTTAAACAAATTTAAGATAAATTTTGCAAAGAAAATTAATTATAGTAAAATATTTAATAATTATAATAACAAAAATGTTATTAAAATTTAAATTTATCATAAGAAAGGAAGGAAAAGGAAAACCAGGAGGAGGGTTAAATTGATATCATACTTATGTCACAACCTTGGGTCGCGCCTCATAAACGTTGAGAATGAATTTGAGTGACATCTGTTTGGCCAGTGTAGAGAACTAGGTTTATTAGGTTTTAGAGTCTCCAAAGAGTTGTTTTCAAGAGTTGCGTGGGATGTTGTAAGGTTTTGAGATTTAGAAGAGTAGAGATTTTGTAAATATTTAAAAGAAAATTATAGATAGTAAATTTTACCCATTGATTGTAATAATCCAAACCGTCGCCCATATTTTCACTTTGTGGTTTCATTTGTAACCGAAACTTAGAGTGAGTTTAGAGGCCCATATTTTCACTTTGGTTGAGAGGAGGTTCACTTTGAAAAGTTTATAATTTTATTTTTAGTTTCAGTTTATGAATGATATTAGTGATGGCGCCTTACCAATTGGATATGAATAAATCATCGCCAAAGTGATCCAATCCTAAATTACAAAGGGATAGTTAATTGCCATATAAGTTAAAATCAGATAAAAGATGAAATAGGATCACAGCTACAACACAGCTGCATCATTTTGTTTGAATGTGTTGCAAAATCAATAATCAACCAAATGAAATATATCTTGTTTCTAAAGTCTATGAATTTAAAAGAAACAATGTAATTAAGAATCAATAATCAACCAAATGAAATATATCTTGTTTCTAAAGTCTATGAATTTAAAAGAAACAATGTAATTAAGAATTCTTTTTTCCTTTTTTATTTATTTATTTTTAAACCCAATACACTCTGACCTCCAATACACTCTTATTCACAAATCTAAAATTAAAGTTAGATCATATAATACAATTATAAAGCCAGTTTATAATATAAACATGATAAAAACAAAAATTTCAATTAAGGCAACAGCATCAATGTAGTAACAATTGAAGTCGACAATATTTCATTATTTACGACAACAATTTCAGACAACTAAACATTAGCAGAATGTCAAGGTGAATTGTACAATTACTCAAACCCAACCATATGAAGTATTGCCACTAGTAATACAGTACATAAAAATCAACGAGGTCACTGCAAAGACATCCCAAAATGTGACATTTTTCGCGTCCATTACAAAAGGAAAATTTGCCAGTAAAACGAAAATATGTGGAGAAAACAGAATTACCAACAAATTTCTAAATGCTAATTTCTCACTGCTAATTTCTCATCACATACTAAACAATATGGCCATGGCCTCCCCCAAAAATTTTCAAAATTTTTAGTATACCCCTACAAAAATGTTATTTTATATATTTACCTCTACTTGTATCCCACAAAATTTATAAAAAATTTTAATTGACCCCCTCAAAAAATTTCAACACTATTTTTTTTGGTCCCAATAATTATGAATGTAAAAATAAATATAACTTGAGTCATCTCGAAACTCATATAAAATTTTGACTTTTTTAGCCTACTTTTGAAAGCCGTAATTCTTGTCAAATAAAAATAAAAGCTCATCCCTCCAACTACAAGTACATATTAATATTTGCAATTCTAAGGGAAAATGGAAAAATATTGGCTATGCAAATACAAGAACAAGTTTATTTAGACAAGAGATTGATTAGTGAAGAAGGATAAGATTTCATTAGTAACTTGTTCAGCTCTCTCCTGAATAAAATGGCCACCATCAATAACAACCACTTCAAGGTACTACCAGCTGGTCCTTGTATTCTTCTCTTTCTATGTAATCCTTGGTCCCAAATGAGTGAAACCCTACATCCTTGTCACGGACTATTAATTTTTTTGGAACCCTAATTTTCACTCCCCTTCCATGGTCCAGGCATCAAAATTAGTAGTATAGTAGTATTTCAGAAAATGACAAAATCAATAAACTCAATCACAAACGTCAGATAATGTAAAACTATGCTCTCACACAAAATACAAAGATTTACGTGATTCGACTTATAACTCCGAGCTTTCATTCCATAATAGCAACGCTTACACAAACAAATGAGAGATTTCACTCTAATAGCAACAAAAATAGATGAAAGCAAATACACAAACAAAACAAAAGAGATTTACGTGATTACACAAATTTCCTACGTATATGAGCGAAGAACAACAATTTTTATTTCAATATCAAAATTACACTCATAAGTTCACTCTTCACATTTTTCTTTTCTCTGTAATTTTCTCTCGACCTCACCTTTATTTATAGGGTCTTCATTTACCAAATCCTAGTCAGAAGCCTCTTCACATCTTTCATTGGAGCTGAGAGAGTCATTCATGTAATTTTTAAAAAAATTTGTGCTTTTATAAGAATATATTTTATATAGAGCATATTAGGCATTATGAAAACGTTTTCAATATACATGTATATTACAAAAATACATAACTAGCACATTTCTTATCTTACAATTGAAATTTTTAGTGATTTGTAAAGAGATTAAGAATATTAAGATCTCACTAAGATTCATTTGATTTATTCATAAATTAAGATCCTTTAATCGTTGTGTTTCAATTTTAACTATTTAATTACTGGAATTGAAGGGTATAAACCTTGACGTGAACATCGAATAGATTTTATTGCAATCCACTAGGTGTACCTACTAAACATTTTTAATATATATATTTTTTATGAATATCTAGAATTCTTTTTTAACTATTCCCAGAAAATAATTAACCATCATTCTTTTTTAACTATTGTAATTGTAGACACTAAAATTTTAGTGGGCTTTGGTTTTGATAAATGGACCCATTAAATATGAGCCTAATATTTAATTAAGTTATTTAATTGGCCCAAGCTTAGTCCACTTAAATTATTTAATTAGCCCAGCGCAGATGGTTAAATAAACAGATAATTATTTTTAATAAAATATATTTAAAATAATTATTTTTAAGGATAATTATCATAATATAACTGGTCCGGCCTAGTTATAATTTTATCCTTATCAGGAGATGACACGTGTCATCATCCTATCAACCCAAGAAGTCTATAAATAGAGGTCTGGAGGAAGAAGGAGGGGACACAAATTCAGAGTCTAGAAATTCAGAGACTTAGAAATTCAGAAGGTCCAGAACTTGAGAGAATCAGAAATTCGGAGGGCCAGAAATCCCGAGGGCAAACTTGAAGGCAAAGAACACCAAGCACATTCAAAGACGTGCCGTTTTTTCTCAAATTCAACAAAGGACACAAATTTAGAATTCAGAAGTGCAGAAATTCAGACACGAATTCAGAAGTCCAGAAATTCAGACACGAATTCAGAATTCAGAAATCTAGAATCCGAGAGAGAAATACTGTGACAACCTGAATTTTTAAGAATTTAAATTATATTTTGTTTCATGATTTTTAGTTGTCAAGTCTGACTGTTTAATTTTAATTTAGAGATTTATCCACTTGTGATTTTTAATGGGTTTTGTTACAATTGTGCATATGATATATATATTGTTTCTGTCTGATAGACGAGAGGAGAAGGCAGCCGAATTGAGAATTAAAGAAAGTAAAATAGTTGATGATTTTTTTTGTAGGGCCTAGTGGAGATATTAAGGGGTTTTTATATTTTGGTTATATATATATATATATTGTGCTATTTGGTGGGCTGCCGAAGGAACCACAAGGAAGTGGTTTAATGGGTTTTTGGTTTTGTTATTCATATATGTATATATGATATTACGTATGAAGGTCTGATGGAAGGTTCCAGCCGAAGTGAGAAAGGATTATGGCGATTGTTCATTTCATG